CTGACAATAAAACACTTTATAATTAGATGCAGACAGCTCACAACAGTCTCATTTTGGCCCAAACTGAGACTGAGGCTATTGGAAGTTGATACGCCATGTACACACCACTGCAACTTATAGAAAAAGAATAACTCAGCTCTGGCCTGACTTATGTTTGGAGTGTAGAGTACCCATTAAAATGCATCCACACATCACAAGGCACACGCTGGCTCCATGGATTCTGCCTCCAGCTACAGCTAGCATGGATGATGGCTTTAAGGCTGCAGACTAGCACTGCACATTTGTTCACTTTGAGCAGCCACATGCACAAGTCGACCAATACAGAGACTAATGCTGCGTGTTTAGGGACGGGGAGTGCACATCCATCACCATATCTGCTGTAGTTATGGCTCCCAGGCTCACTCATGGATATCTGAAGCCCTTTTTGAGTTACTTCTGGAGTTTTAATGCAGCTTTTGTACGGATGTGCTCTGCCCAACTGGCTTTAATGGAGTAATTTAACAGTTAAAAATAATCCTTACTGTACAAAGGAAGTTTTCACCAAAACGTTAAATTTCAAATCTAATTTTTGTGCACCAGCAGCTAAACATTTACTTTCCAAAAGCTCTTGTCTGTTTGTACGGTGAGAGAGAAGAGACAGATGTGGGGTTTCAAAGTCAAACAAAATAAACACATTTCACCATAGCAAAGAAACATTTTTATGAGTTTGGATCCATTTCAGTGACTTCCTGTTACATTGTTCAGTGCTATAAGAATAAGTGATTAAGAGTGCAGAGTGCTGTGTAGAACCGCTCTGGGCCATAGGTCCAAATGCCTGAGGACATTTGGACAGTGGAGCAGATGTACAGGACATGTCGGTGCATATAAGACACACAGGTGAGGGGACCCAACACAGACAGACAAGGCTTGGGCCCCAGGCACTGGCTCTACACTCACTCTTACACTATTAGTAATGCTCACTTTTAAAACTGAGAAAGGACACATGTAAATCAGCTGTGACAGCTCTGTCTGTGTCTTTTGATGTCTTCTGCCAAAGAGGTTCTTCTGTATGTAGAAGTTTGACTGATTTCTTTGACAGGATTCATATTTTTTACCCTACTATATCCATTTTCAATAAAGTGTTTGTATGAAAATAAATGTATACAGAAAAGAACATTTCTGAACCAGGTAAGTAGAGGTTTGGATATTGAAATGGAAGATACATAATTTACAATGATAGCATATAACTCTTTGCACTAGAGGTCAGTATGGGACTTGCAGATATAGCTGAACATCAGAGAGTCATAAAATGTAGTGAGTCCAGTCAGAGGCTCTTTGCTTGTGTGTGACATAAAGTGGCTTCTGGCAGATTGTCAGAGGTGTGAGTGTGAGGCGAGAGCAGCGAGTGGAACTTAGAAAAGCCTTTTAGATTAGATAAAGGCACAGAGGAGAGCAAGGAAGATGGACTCCATGTTGGATCCATTATCCTACATTCTATCTCTGCTCTGACACTGTGAATGGCATGTGCGTTTGCAGAAATGTATACTTGCAAGCGTGTCAATACTCCTGTCCATCATCGCACTGAAATCTGCTACACATTAATTCTATTTAGGAAAAGGTACATCTGTTGAATAGGGCCGCAGTGCCTCAGAGTTTAAAGCACTTGTCCCCAAATGTGTGGTTATGCAACAATTGTGATATTTTTAAAAGGGCCCATATTAAATTATTTTTGGTGTTATAATGTTGAGTTCTCTCAAATGAAAAACACTCTGTTCCACCTTGTGATGTCATGTGGTAATACAGAAAGTGCTCCACTGTGTTTTTATACTCCACACATCTTCACTAGAATATTATAGATAATTTTAGCCCTGGAATCGCCAATCTCTAACTAAAGGTAAAAAGCCTGTTAACTTGAAAACTACCACGGCATGGCATGACATCACAAGGTGGAACAGAATATTTTGAGCTTTGGAGATGTAGACAGACTAAAAATAACGGATTACACAAAGCGTGAGTGAAATAAAACAGAACTTCAGGAATGTATTTGAAAAAGGTAACAAGAAACAGTCAGTTTGCTGTCAAATGGGCGCTTTAAGTCACAGATTTAATCACCTCCCACATATATGACAGCAGCTTGGTCAAGGATTCTGATGAATGCTTGCAAACATGTTCTTATTAGACTATGAATGCATGTTTGCTCTAAAAACATGATAAATGGTTTGTTAATCTGTTCTCTCACTCATTTGTGTTCCAAGTTGCTTTTTTAAACTTCTTTCTGCCCTCATAGTTGTTGCTGCCACCATCGCATCATCTCTACCTGCTCTTGCCACCTCATTGAGAGCTTGTTAAAATTGATTGACAGGGGCTGATATTTTAGGAAAGTAATGGTCCAGTAGCAGATGTGCTATGACTACACAAATGAAATGGCCATATAATACTCCTTTATCTCCAACTATTTCACATACATGATTCACCTTGAAAGAGTGTGTGATATTTTACCTGGCTTTAAGATAATTTTGCTTAAGTGCGGCAGATGGGGGCTTTGTAATGGTCGTTCAAACCCCATCATTTGTAGCGGGGACACTATTTCTTGGTCATGAGGTGATTGGATCAAAGCGGTGCTCCTCTGCTCAGAAAAGCCCATCTGATGTGAGACTGGGTGTGTGTATGTGCCTGATGAAACAGGCTGCTCTGCTCCTGCTATGTCATTATTTTTCACCATTCCTCATGAATTTCAAGATTTCAATCTAGTTTGCTCTTACACACGTGGCCAGCTGCAAATCATTTCCATCTCATCTTCTCCCAATCTTATCTATGAAAGCTATTAGCAGGCGTCCGGACCGAAAGGTGTTCAGCTCATAAAGTTATACATAAAACTAATCAGCACTGCACATATTGCCTCTAAAGTGGGTCAAGTGGCGGTTCATGGCAATATTAATATAGGCACCACTGTGGGTCTGTATTGTCAGAAGAGCTGAAGGTGTGAGGCTGTCTACTGCCTTCAATTTCCTGAGGCTTGATTTTAAGTAATAAAGGGTGCAGGTTATCTGCAAAAGACCTTGGCGACACACGTGCGCACACTGCACACACACACACACACACACACAAAACTGCACACACACACACAAAACTTTTTTTTCCTGAAAACTGGGTAGATGGAACATCACTGTCCAGTTTTTGTTTTCTCTCTGGGGCAAATTGGCATAGACATGACTGCTGATTTGTGTCAGCTGCCTCTGGCTGACTTCTTATTTATCAAAAATTAGCTAAGTGCCTTACCTGGATACATCAGCTGTATGCACTGAGATTGAACCACCAACCAACTGGTTGTATGACTCTTCCACCTGAGTCTTATCTCTCTGTGAATTCTCATAAGATCTGGTTCTATAATTTGTAACTACAGCTGAATGTGTGGGCCTCAAAGAGTTAATGAAAGCCCCAGGCAGCTGCCAGCTGCAGGGACTAAATGTAGTGAAGAGCAAACCAAAGCAATTAGACACACGATGCATTTAGTGGACACATACATATGCTCACATGAGCTGAGCCGCACAAAGCCACGCTCACGTTTTTGTGCTCCCTCTGTGTGAGTCCATTTGATGTGCAGAGCTGATTGCACCTGTTTGAGGCTTTCTTATCTGTGCACTGATCCAATCACATCCAATCAGCTCCTGTGTGCACATGCGGATCCTGTTCTGTTCACACACATGACCAGAGCAGAGCTCCTGCAGCTGGAATCAAGGCCAAATGTGATGAATGATCGTTCAACAAAAGCGCCAGTGCGCTTACATATTTTCTCCTTAATTTAACTCTGCTCAATTACCTTTGGTCTTAATTTGATATAGAAGTCTCATTTGTCTCTGCCAACTAACAGGCATAGCATCCCCCACTATTAAATTAATAAACCAATACCCATAAAGCACTTTATTTAAGTCTAAAAAGTGTCACTTTCCTCAATACCTCAGAGACCAGTATATATAGACCATACCAATTTATACATTTTGTGCTCTTTCCAAAAATTTTCACCTATTTGTTGATTTTGACTTTATCAAAAACACTTCCTTGAATCCTAGTCCTGTGTTATAAAAAAATATAAAAGATTTTGAAAGTTCATGACATTGTTTTGAGTTTGGATGTAGGTCAGTAGAGCTCCACAGACATAAACCATGCCTCACACTGTGTATACTGCACTCCAGATGGGATCCATCAAGTTGGACATCAAGATGGCTCTTTAGTTCCCCACTTGGGGAACTGTTTGGACTTGAGAGGACAGATGTGGTTAAGGTTTAGAGTTGACTTCAGAAGATCACAGCACTGAGAGACTCTCACACACATGCAGGATAAGGGATTAAAGCTTTGTAAAATCTTATATCCAGGCAGCTTTGACAAACTGTTTGTAATATTTGGTCTTTGTTATATATTATGTTTGAGGAAAGAAGTAAATTTCCAAAGACTAAAGGCAGATACAAAGGCTCTAATGATCCCTATGCCCATGTTCAAACAAGACCTCCAGGGGGCCTCTTCTGCGCCCTCTGGTGGCCATTAAGTGTGCCACCTGCACTTGATAAAAGTTGAACCCTTCGAAATCTAATTGAGATTTTCAGATGGCTTCAATCAAAACAATTAGAGCAGGTAAGACTACATTCCTTAACTTCCCATGAGATAAAAAAGCAGGATTTTTTTTTTTTTTTTTTTTTGCCTCTGTGCATGTTGCTCAAAACTGATTATATGTGGCTCTTCCTTTGCAAAAACCACAACAAAAGTATGGTTATCGCAGAGCATAATTTGCAAACCAAACTTAGTCACCTGCAAATGTGTTAATCGTTGTTAGTCACTAGATTATTAATGGCAACCGTTGCAGTTTAGGTTGAGTTAAGCAGCATAGAGCCCCCGTGTATAGTGTGCGTGTGTCTGTGGGGGTGTGAGTGTGTGAGTGTGAGTGTGTGTGTGTGTGTGTGTGTGTGTGTGCTAGAGATAGAGAGGTAGTGGGCTGTCTCTACTCCTCACTGTGGACCTTCCCTCGCCTCGAGTCAGCCTTCGTGCGTCCCTGTTCGCTGTTTACTCGTCTCTACCTCTCCACTCTCCCTTCGCTCTGCCCAAACCAACAGCGGGACCAGACGTGCTGCTCTCCTCACTCCAGGATGCACTCGTCTCCGCTGAGGCTCGTTTAGCACACCCCAGAGTAGTCTGATAGAGAGCTTTTGGTTACGGGATTTGGCCATGGGTTTGTGCGTGGTTCCGCTGCTCCTCGGCTATTACTTAGTGTCCAGTTTGCTGTGTAACGCTGTGGCTTTCGTGGAGGAGCCGTCTGGGGGCAGAGCGGACGGGTACTGCGGCCGGATCCTGCGCGCACAGACCCAGGGCACCCGCCGGGACGGACACCATGAGTTCAGGCTGCGAGTGGAGGGCGACCCCGAGACCTACCAGCCCGGCAGCACGTATAGAGGTGAGTGTGCGGGCGCGGGCTGGACTGACAAAAGTGTGGCTCAAGCTTGAACTTGAACTGAAAACTTTTTAGACCATAAACAAAATCCAAACTTATAATACGTGGGCGAGAACTCATTCACACATTTTCATACCTATACTTTTTCTTCCTGAATAAAAAAAGTTGAATAGTAACAAAAACCCTTGAATTAAAATGAACCAATGCTACTAAATTGTGAGATTTTTTGTAGACTAACCAATCTGCATTTTATTCTTTGCATTTGAAATAGGCCTAGTTAAAGGTGCATTGTGTAACTTTTTGGTTGGGGGTCATTAACATGCTCGTTTCTATGGATCTGCCTGGAATGTTCCACAGTATGACATTAAACAGCTCTACTTTACATTGATTAAATTAAAAGTGGTTTTATAGCTCAAAAATACCTAGAAAAATATACATTCTCACTGCTAGCGGGGTCGCCTCTCCACAGATCTGACCTGTAACTTTGTCTGGTTTGACCTCCGTGAAAAGGTTTAATGTCATACTGTGAAACATTCCAGACAAAGCATCTCCATGAATAAAAGCATTTGACAGACCCTACACCAGAAAAGTTACAGAATGCGCCTTTAAGGTAATGAAAAAAATTTGCTCTTTATTCTTGTATTTTTAATAATTTTCCCACTGTTAGAGAATGCTTCCTGTAAAAATATTTGCATCACAAACTTTCCACATGGGACTGTCACTGTTATAAAACAATAACTTTGAAATGTGCCTATTGTGACTTGCATAAACATTAGATCATAAGTTAGTCCTCCATAAGTGACAGTTATTGCCAGCCTGTGTCATGTATCTTAGCACACAGTTTGTTTCTCCGCTGTCAGCGATGCTAACTCTGTCTCCACCGTAGAGAATCCTAGTTTGATAAGGCACTTAGTCTAATGTGTGACCTATATTCACTTCCTGTCCTCTGCATGGACCTGAGCATTCTTCCCTGCATACAGACTCGCGCACAGTGCAGATCTGGCTCCAATTAAGGCAACCTACACTTTTATTGCCTCTGTGGTCAATACTGGTCACAGACGGAAGACATTAGCCCCAGTGCAGATACATTTAAACTTTCACCCAATTCCTCCAAGTTGTTATTTTGAAGGGTTTTTCAGTGAAGTAGTGCAGCTCGCTAATTAAACTTACAAACATGAAACACGCCAAGGTTGTCAGTGCAGATCTGGAAACACTCGGCGCTGGCACCTCTTTACAAGGCCAAAACTTCACTGTAATAATCAGTTACAACCTGTGAAGAAAAGTGCCTACAGTCTGGTCAAGTTGTTTTGTCGAAATGTTAAAGGATGCAATTTTTGGAGAAACCTTACTAGTCTTTCTGTAACTGTGTTTTGAAGAATAATTTTAACAACTCAACAACGATGGGTTTGATAAGACTCTGAAAAACTGTTTTGATCCACAAGGGAAATTATTTGGACACAGTAGCTCACACATTGCAATAAATATAATAACAAAGAGCAAAAATATAAATGGTAATAATAAATAAAAAATCAGAAGTAGCAAAAGTAGCAAGAGACTGGTATCGACTACGGCACAATTATACAACTGTATATGTACAAGAAAAAATTAAAATGTAGAAATATAGTAAATATATCTTGGCTATATACAAGAAGTCGTAAGGAGAAACAATGCAAAGATGAAATAGTGATTGACATGAGGTCGTCTATTACATAAGTGTGAATTGTTGCACAGTTGTATTAGCCAGGCTTGTTGATACCTAATGCCCATCAATTTCATTTCTCTCCAGTGACCAGGTCAGGAATCAGAATACAATAAATGGTTCGCAAATACCCCGGAAGTGCGAGTTCGGGCACCAGCCAATCAACAAAGAGCCATATATTCTTTGTTGGCAACAATTCCCGAGATCAAGGATTTAAAGCCGGAACAAAGAGAATGTTTGGCGAATATTATCAAGGGGAAAGACGTTATTGTCCTTCTTCCTATGGAATTTGGGAAAAGCTTAATATACCAGTTCGCCTCGTTAGTGGAGCATTACATACGTCATGACCAAATAGCAGTGATTGGTTAAATGAAAAAATTTACCCACCTACCATCAAGCAAACAAATTCTAATGCTGCAAGGTCAGACAGTTTCCACGAAGTGAAACCGGCTGATGAAGCATGCTACAGTTGTATGAAGTATGGCATGAATGTAGTCCTGCATGATTCGCTTTATTCCAAGTTGGTAGTGTTATAGAACCACCCAAGTACCCAGGGGCTGTTACGAAAACATTCACAAGTTTATCCTTTTATGGTCTACTTAAAAACATTTTGATAAATAGTGTAAACGCACAGCGCTGGAGCTATGGTTACACTGCACTGAACATAGCAATGAAGCCTGCACATTTACACTAAAATTGCATTTACTGGGATGTATCAATTGTTAAACTATAGCCTAAGATGCACCGATCCAGCTTCTTCATTTCTGATATGATTACGATACTATAGCTTTAAGAATCTGCTGATAACTGATAATGATGATTCATCCATACCAGCGCAGAGATTGAAAACAGCATTTATTTCCTTAAAACGTAAATAACATAAAACAGATGTGATCCAAATGTGTCATGTAGCTGTTATTTATCCCTCAAATCACTACAGAACAACTTTGTATACATGAAAAATCAAACATTATGAGACTTTCTGAACTAGGTATGACCAGTAAATATGATACAGTACATAAAATGATATGTTCAACCAGGATATCGACTGAAGTGATATTTGGAAGCAATTTTTTTCAGTACTGGCGCCGATACCACATCCCATCCCTAAAATGATCAGTATCTTAATGATGTACCTGTAGTCTGTCTGGAGCAGGTTAAAGATAAAAGTTGAAATGAGAGCATTGGGTTGGGGCAGCAGTGTGAGCTGAGTTGAGAATAGAAATCCTCCCACATCTTTATATTACATCGGCAGAGTGTTGACGCCCCGCTCTCACCAGGAGATTTACAGGCTCAGTGTTAGACCGCAGGCTTCTGTTTACAGCTCTCCATCTTCACGCTGGGCCTGTACTCACCACAGTGTCCCTGCTCACATGAGGGGGCTACCACTGTGATGTGCATGCCAATTTGCACTTCATGCCTTATGTTTATGTCAGTTTGAATAGCTCTTCTCAAAACCCATTCTTATCAACCAACATTCTTTTAATATATGTGGTTTTTTATAGAACATGTCATTCAGAATTGACTTTTAGGTTTTAAGCATGTGATATTGTTGTTCAGTTGTTCAGAACCATAAACCATATATATAAGTGGACATAACTAACCCACTAGTAGCCTTGTTCCTGTGAGCCTCATAATTTTGGTCTTAAAATGTTCATATTAACTCTCTCTATCCTGGTGTTTTTATTTCGCTATTTTGCCCATAAATAAATTTCTATTCCTGATATGGACCTGGCTCCAAATTCGCCACTATAACTGCTAGCCTTGTGAGCTTCATTTGACTGGAGCTGAACACTATGGGTGACGTCACACTCCCTTAGTCCTCTTCTTTACCCAGCGTATGTTCAGAATCCCGGAAGACCCCCGCCTGGTGCATTAACCATCACCAGACTCGTAAGTCTTGAAAACTGTTGGTAGTTACTGGTATGTGGCCAGTTGGCTGCATATATTTACTTTTTAATTGGTTATTCCCACACCTAAACTGCACACTGGAATTAGAGTTAACATTTTTATGGCATTTTATTTTTTATTTTACTTTTATTTAACCAGGAGGTCCCAGAATCTTTTTTTCAGCCGAGACCTGGCCAAGTTAGCAGCCAACGCAATCAATACAAAAGAATCAAATCACAAAATATCACATTATAGAACCATTTGCATCACTCAAGAAAAACGTACACATGTCTCGGCCATTGCACTTTTAAAAGAGACCATAGATTCGAGTTTAAGATCATTCTGTAAATGATTCCAAGACCCTGGAGCTGCGTAGGAAAAGGCACATTTTCTCAGCTCAGAGACACCGAGGAACAGTGAAAAGTAACAGGGAGAAGGAGCGAAGCCGGTAACCTGAGCTGATATTAAAGGGCCCATATTACACTATTTTCTGATCTATGTTTTAATGTAGTTCTCTCATTACAAACATACCTGGAGTTTCATTTTATTCACACATATTTTACACACAAATCCTGCATATTTAGGCTGAGTTCAGTGCCCCATTGTGTTTTTAAACTCCATGCAACTTCACTAGAATTCTTTTGCAATCACTGTTGAACTAAAGGCAAAAGGAGCTGGTAACTTGAAAACTACCATTAGATGACATCACAAGGTAGAACAGAGATTTGGAAATGCAGACAGACTTCTAATAAAATGTTACTCAAACATGTGTGAATGAAACAAAAACAACTACAGGTATGTTTTTGAGGAAGTAACAGCATTATAACATGTCTTAAAGCTCACAAGAGTCAGAGATTTACGTTATACAGAATCTTTAAGGACTTTACAAAGGTATAAAGTTTTTCTTAAGTTAGAAATACCAAAGCCAAGGTGACAAAGGGCATGTTTAAAAGCTACTTAAAGCCACATTAATGCATCATAAGTCCACTCTCTGTTTGGGTATGGCAAAGCTCAAGACACTTCCAATCAGTAAACCATAACTGCATAATGGCACCAGGGAAGATATCCACTGAAAAAATATATATGCACATTTTTTATACTCTTGCTGTGACATTTCTTAAGAGAAAATATGGCAGCTTTAAATTTAAAATATTAACCACGTCAGTATTTTAATGCATTAATTTCAGGGTTCAGTTGTGCCGGACTATTCCCCATTTGACCTCTGTTTCTGACTCTGGTCTCACCCAGCCCCAGACTTACATGGATATAAGCAGTTTCTTCTTGGGTTCTTTTAGTTATAGCCCAAGCTCAATTTTGAGGTCAAATAAAACACTTGAACAGTCCAACCATAACTCATGCTGGTTAAATATTCAGGCCAGCTGCCAATGAGATGCAGGCACAGATTCTACCCGTAACTAAAAAGATGAATGAATAAAATGTGATGAAATAGACCCATACTAGTGTTCTGCTTTTCACATTGTTACGAAAATGTTGTTGGTTATTATTGTTTTGAGTCATTAAAGCAGACCTATTATGCAAAATTTACTTTTATAGTGTTTCCCATCACCATTTACTCACCAAAAGTTGTACTTGCAGTAATTCATGCATGTTAGAGCAACCGTTAATCACTTATTTTCAAGACACCATTGTGCTGATCAATCCCTGTTTGCACCACCACCGGCACAGCTCTGTCCTTACTTTGTTTTCCAATTTTTTCTTAATCGCTGATACACATAGGATTCGGCAGCATCACATAGTCATTTTGGTACAAATGAAAAAAAATCTGTGGCTCACTAGAGTGATGTGCGGTTATCCATCAGAGCTGCCGACTCTCTGTTGTGTCCCAGTGGTTTTCAAACACAGAAATCAGCAGACTTGTTTCTTTTATTAAGTCGTTTTAGATGAATTCTGCAATTTTAAATGTGTAAATTATAACAAAATTATCCATGAGTGTCATAGATCATTGTTTCTCAAAGACTGGGTTGTGACCCTCAGGTGGGTCACAAGAGGTTTTTTTTTGGGTGGCCTTGTCATGATCTGCATGTAGGTCTGCAATCTACAGTTCTGACACATGTTAAAATGTTAAGACATGTTTTGTATAATTTCCAATCTTTTTGTGATTATTTTATTGACTATTTTGTTCCAATATTGCTGGTTCAATTGAATGTTGAAAAGAAAAAGAAATGGGCTACATTTAATGTCTAAATAGGTGACTTATGGATCCCTTTTATTTCTGGTTCAATGACTGTTTTTCATTGTTTAAAAATGTAGTAATACTAATTGTTCAGAGAGACATGATCGATTAACAATAAAATATCCTCATAAATGGGAAACACTGTCATAGATTACAGCTATATAGCAGATACATGCACAATACATATTTTTTTATGTACTTTACTGATGAGTGCAAAGCAAAATAATTAATCATTATTTTTGCTCATATTGATCAATCACAATTTTTGATAAAACAAATGGCAAACAGCGTACAAACTTATTTTCATGAATCAGACCATTATTTTAAATACACTCCTCCAAAAGCCCAAACCGTAAACTGCTCTAGATCATATGCTCTTACTGCCACAGGATAAAGTCTGATTAACTGCACAGCTCAGTGTTCCCATTGGCGTTGCATAATATACAACTTGAGAAGGAGTGTTACAGTGGAGCTCTATAAATGCTCTATAAACACATGTAGATTTGTACTTACAGAACAGCTTTGTCCATCAAATTAAATGTGAAAATGTCTTCATCACTCTGGGGGTGTTCTACATGTAGCCTATGTGTATTGGCAGAATGTTCATGGAGACACAATGCACAAATTAAAAGTCAAAAAAAATTTTAAGGTGAAAATACTAAAATATACACAATGGATTTAAACACTTTTTCAGAAGTCTTTGATCAATATGAGCTTTCAGGGTTCTGTTTACAAGTTTGATTTTCAACAAAAAGGTGAGAGTGACTAACTGAAAAACTGTATAATATTAGCTACGGTAGTTTGTGACTGTCATCTTAAGAGTCAGAAATTTGTTTAAGCGCATAAATCATCTCACCTGTTGTAGTTCCAACCAAGTCATCTTTCTGTTCAGTTTGTGTTAAAATAAAACTCAGATTAAGTCTAACTTGAGTTTCTAACAGAGTAGTGCTGATACCTGCTGCAAAGTATCAATAATGAAACATAAAATTTCACATTATTGTTGGTATTTGTAGTTCCAATACTGACTGTTATTGTCTCTTGACAGTGGTCCTGCTGGCACAAAGCCCCTCCTATTTCAGGGGCTTCACTCTCATCGCTCTGAAGGAGGGGAGAGAGGGCACCGCTGAAGACGACTACACGGGACAGTTTCAGGTACATCACATATTAATTACTAGGCATTACTAGACATGTTAGATGGAACAATACTTTTTGGGATCAGTGTTTATCATGAGGACTTTTTCTTTGTACTACTGGGAAATTTGTGGTTATATTTTTGAACCACGATCAGATTTGAGTCATAGAAGGTTGAACTATAATCATCATCATCATCTTTATTCTGGACTTATGGTTCATTTTTAAAACAGACAAGTACAGTGACATTACAAAACAACAAACATTTATGTTTTTAAAAGACAACCATACCAGTGTCTCCGCATATTGGACTGACATCTTATTGCACTGAATCTCATATTTGTGAGTGACATTATGATTTCATTGTCCAATTTGTTCAGCCTGCACATAAAACTGTACATTAAAATTTTTAGTGCAGCTTGCAAAGCGTTCACTTTTGCAGTAACAAACATCTCTCTCACACTCGTCGATTGTGGCCTCCTCAAAAGTACCCCTAAAGCATCATTGTAAACCACCTGCAGACTTTGCAAACTGGCTTTTTTATAATTAATCCAGAGGTGGGCTGTATACAACTGTGTACAATATGATACTAATAATAATGATCATAATTATGAACTTCTATGACTCATAGATACAAACTAACTACTTAAAGGTGCACTGTGTAACTTTGCTGGTAGAGGGTCCACCACTTGCTTTTCTCCATATAAATGTTATTGCTTTATCTGGAATGTTTCACAGTATGGCATTAAACCTTTCTATCATCATAAGGACCAAACCAGGCCAGGTTACTGGTTAGATCTGTGGAGAGGAAACTCCACTCACAGTCACAGAATTAGTGTTTTTCAAGGTATTTTTGAGCTATAAAACCACTCGTAACTGAATAAATGTAAGGTAGATCTGTTTAATTGTCCTATTGTGGGATATTCGAAGCAGAGACATCCATAGAAACAAGAAGGTGACAGACCTCCAACCGAAAAATTACACAATGCACCTAAGAGTTATATTTTATTTATTGCATCTCATATTTTGCATTTTGAATACTGTTTTGGGGATAATTCTACTTTATGGCTTAGTTACAGTATTATTGTTTATCATCTCTGTTTTCTTAGTATATCACACTTCAAAATGGGTTATCATGACATCCTGATGCAAGTGTTCATTTTGTATTCTCACTCAATATTTAATTAGATTTGGGGTCTGGTTTTAGAAATTTGCAGGCAGAACATCTAACTCAGTGTTATTCCAATGGAGCTCTACATCTGGAACAAGTCTTTCTCTAAATTGCCCAAATATTATGATTATATTCTTGCCTAACTTCAAATCTTTATGGCATAAAGATGAGTTTAGAAATAGCAACCCAAATGATTGTTGGAAGAAAATTTAATTAAAATATGACGCATAAACAAAATTTGTTGCACAGTTTGGCCAATAAACAAACATGTTCAAATTAAAATGGAGTGTTAAGTTTTAAAAATATGTATGAAACTCACTCTGGTGAAGTTCAGTTGGAGGTTTTGTGACATTTTATAACCCTGCAACTGGTACAGCTTCTGTCACTTTCCACTCGTCCAAAAACTTCCTAAAACGACAATTTGAATACTGTGATTGGAGCATATAGGGTTGTCAAACAGTGAAGACTTATTGATTCTGAAATTAGTGTAAAAAACGAAATAGTTACTCTCACTATTGTCAGCTAGATAGCAAAGTGTGAAGTATGATATATTGCTGAAGTAAATAGACGATAAAAACGATAATATTGAAACTAATTTATGCCACTTACACAGTAACCCAAGAGCAGATTTAAACCACAAAAACAATTGTAAATGTAATATATTGTTAAAAAATCATGAGCCGCTAGAAATAAACAGCAGAATAAAACACTTTAGTCCTTACTTTGCATCTGTAATGAGTAATAGAAGTTACTAATTCAACTTTCGAACCAGAGTTGGGGACAAGTCATGACTTAGACTTGAGTCAGATTTGGGTCACTATTTTTAGGACTTGAGACTTGATTTGATAAATGGACTAAGACTTGGGACTTGAGGCCTGTGACTTGAGATGACTTGAAAAGCACTCAGAAATCTGAATTCTTTCTATTCTAACCATAATGATTCACACTAAGATGTTGTCAAGACATTTAAAAATGAAAAAAATACATTTCTAAACTCAAAAAACATAGTATATAAATATACTATGTTTAGTACAATTTAGTTTGAAATTCATATAAATGGCAAAAATCTAAGCTATATTTGGTACTTTGGTTTAAAGACTTGAAATGACTTGAAGGTCAAAGCAGATGACTTGGACTTGACTTGGACTTGACTTGGACTTATGAGCCAGTTACTCAAGACTCGAATTGGACTTGCCTGTATTTGACTTGGGACTTGACTCGGACTTGCGGTCAAAGACTTGAGACTTACTTGAGACTTGCAAAACAACAACTTGGTCCCAGCTCTGCCTTAAAACTTATCGTAAAAAAAAAAATAACAAAAAATGTCCCAGTACTGCAGAGAAAAAGTATACACGATAAATACTGACCCCAAAAAATATTGTTCCAGCTGTCATGTACTGAAAGATAAGTCGATGTAGTAATTATTGTGACAGGCCTATTGTCAAGTTCCAAAAATGCATTTATAAAGTGGTATTCCTACACTTTCGTGGATAATCTTATACTGTAGTGATTATCCATTTGTCTGTTTACCCAGCTCTATGTACACAGCTTTAGCATAAGAACTGAAATGTTACATGTTGAAAATTACATTCCATTTTGATTCCCTGGGGGTGTGACGCTAACTGTGGGCTCTACTCTGTCTGAGGCTTTATTAGACTTTAATCTGTGCTTTATTTTATCACAATCTGACCATAAAGAGCATTTGAGCTGATTTAAACAAGTCTCTCACATATAAAATTATGATCAGAAGCATTAGCCTACAGTTTTTGAGTTATTCATCTCATCTTTTTGTTGAAAACCCTAAACAGGACCATGAGCGCTCGTACTGATCACAGACTCCTGAAAAAGTGCCAGTGTGTGCGTTGTGTCACCATGGTAACTCTTAAACATTCAACCATTAGAGACACCCCCAGCATGATGTCACTTCAAAGTATGAATTATATAAAAAGTGAACATTTTCATCATTGCATGTTAAGTAAAAAGCAGCAAAAACCTGGTGCAGCATTTCAGATCTATGTATGTGAGTTGTTGCTATATTCAATTCATCATCTGGCTCCCCCTCTTGAAGGAACCATACCCTTCTGTAATTAGCTGTTGATTATATATGATTATTTATTAATGAGCCTGTGTCAGAAGGCTAATGATGTGGCGTATAATGTTTAGTCTGTAATAAAGCATAACAGGGAGTCATTGCCAGAAAACATCAGAAGGTTCAACCACTGACTTTTAATTAAGAGTGAACTAAGAATAATCATCCATCGTGCAAAAAAGCAAAGGTGTTGCAATGCCTTAATATTCGTAAGAGCAAATTAATGCACCGACCTGTTTGTAATTACATCATATTTTATTAAAGCTTTAACGTTACACTTTGAACCATCTACTCAGTTTAAATGATGTTGTTACACCTTCCTTTTAACTTGTAAATAAATAAACTCATGATGTGTGTGGTTTGATACTAATGGAAAGAGTGAGTAGAAAAGCTACCATCACCACATCCCCTCATGAAATTTAGAAGAGGACCCTCGTTGCGTAATGGCTTGTTGACTGTAAAACTTATATGGACATTTTAAATTCTCTGAGCTAGTTGTTTACCTCTGGGGGATGGGATTAGCGCTTGTGCCTTGCCACTGATTTTATTACTGCTGAAGATTTTGTGAATTTAAAGTGTTATATTTTATACTTTAGCGCACATATTACACTATTTTCTGATCTATGTTATAATGTTGTTTCCTCATCACAAACATACCCAGTAGGGATGTAACAGTAACCAAAATATCATGATATCGTAATGTCAGAAGTCTCACAATAATATCGTGGGCTGTCACAATATATCGAATTACAAGTTTCTTTGCTTAAATGCATGGTTTTATAGAAGCAACAGTGTATGAACATAGGGAACTACATATCCCATGATTCAGTTCAGCGCAGACAACATGAAGAGATATGTTTTTTACTTGAATTCTTAGGATTATCACGGAAATCATCCACACCAAAATCTTGTCAAGGTATTTTAAAAGCAAAAAAATGTCCCATCTACAATTATATTAGCCTCTCCAAAATCTCGCAATAAATATTGTACCGTGAGATGCATATTGTGATAATATCGTACAGAGAAATCTGGATATCATTACATCGCTAATACTCAGGGTTGTGTTTTGTTTCATTCACATGTTTAACACACAAACCCTCTCAAACAGAAAAAACTTTGTTCCACCTTGTGATTTTATTTATTTATTTATATTTACGAAATGCTCCACTGTGTTTTTAAATTCCATACAACTACACTAGAATCATCTGAATGATTTTAGCCCTGGAATTGCCCATCTCTACTGAATTAAAGGTAAAAGGTAATTTGAAATCTACAGCTTCATGACATCACAAGTAGGAATGTAAAGATATCCAAATCTCTCGGTATGATATTTTCATGATATACATCTCACAACATGGTATTTATTGTGATATTTTGTGGAGGCTAACAAAAAAGTTAATATGCTACTTTTTCCTCTTTAAATGCCTTGACATTATGCCTTAAAAATACCTTAATCCAAAGAACTAAGATTTAAAAGTACTTAGAATTGCTATTTCTTCATGTAGTTTGCACCAAAACGGAGCAAAGGGTCATGGTTGATGTAGTTCCCTCTGTTTTTTTTAGCTATTGCTGCACCGTAACAATGAATTTAAACAAAGAAACTTGAGATTCGATATATTGTGATGATCCATGATATTACTGAGAGACTTTTTGACGATACGATATAACAATATTTTGGTTATTGTTACATCCCTAATCACAAGACAGATTTATGATAAAGGATTACTCAAACGTGTGAATGAAACAAAACACAACTCCAGG